GATGCAATCTGAAGGCTCAAGTTGATCTTTGCTGAAGTTGGTTGATGGAAAAGAACCAGGTTGAGTCAGATTATTTTGGTGAATGGAAAGTCAAGGCCCGAGGCCTGGCACAAACTTAACGGGTTGCAGAAGTGTTCTAGCTCATGTCTTCATCTTAGAATCTAACCGAACCACCGACTCTGAGAAAACAAATTCATAGATACTAAACATATAGCATATAGGATTACATATAGCTAAGATGACAGGAACGAGTGGTTCCATCATAAGCCTGCATAAATCAGTATACAATATAAGAGACAATATACAAGGGTGTAGAGGGTGTAGAAGCACCTAACCCTGATCGTAAGCCTAAAACAGATATTTCCTGAAACGTTATCCCTCAATTCTGATTGGTTAATTGGAATGTTGTTCCAGGATCAACAAGGATGTTGATCCAGGAACATGTTGTACTTGGTGAAATCACGGTCACCTGACCTAGATCATACTCAAATCTGGTTCCTCCAGAGCCAGCAGTGCATATATATGTCCTGAGCACATGCACAAACCACTACAACACAGCTCGGACAGTTACATCAAGTGTCAGGCTGCAATGCATGAACTAACAATATTTTGAAGCAATTTTTTGATAGGGTCATAGGTTTTACACTACCAAAGATTTCCATAAAAATATTAAGCAGCACCATTGTTTTCAACATTTGAAATGATTCTTGATCAGCAAATCAGCATTTCCGAAGGATCATGTGACACTGAAAACTGGTGTAATGATGCTGAAATTGCAACTTTGTAAATAAAATAAAACAATCAAACAAATAAAACAGTTATTTTAATATTGTAATATTTTACAATATTGCTGTTTTTACTGTACTTTTGATCAAAAACATAAAAAAAACATCTTTTAAACACAATGTTGATTTGTATACTAACGTACTTAAAACGATTGTCTGTTGTAATCAAGAGCATGCCACAGATGCTGTCTTTAGAGCTTAAGTTGCTTTGAACTCTGAAAATCTCCTTTAATGGGAAAATAATCCTGTTATCACTCATATAACATCATTGACTGTCTGCGTTTGTCTCAATATATGAGAGGCAAAGACAGAGAAACAGAGACAGGGTCATTCTGCAGCACTCTGATGAGGAGCCGGGGTCTTAAACATCAGCTGGGTGCCTCTTGTGGCACATTTATGTTTTATAACAGCTGTTGCTAGGTAGACAGCAACGGACAACAACAGTACTCTCTCTCTATGTTCCATGCTCTGAGTTTGCTTGTAAATTTTTCTTATTCTTTCTGCATATTCTGTTACAGTAATAACCCAGGAGAGGCTGGGCATAATAAGGGTTTTACTACAGGGAAACGGTGTTGTTAGGCACATCACAATGTTCCCGTCAAGCTCTGCGAATGCATGACCACACATTTCTGAGGATAATTATTGATATTTAAATGAATTCAGAATTAGAATCAGAATAAATAAATATTTTGTTGAACAAACAATGTTTTGAATAATTTAAGTGAAACAGTTTTCATTAAATCAGACAATAAGTGGCTACCCTTGGATAAATATATACGTGAGTGGGATTATTTATGTCTTAAAGGTATAGTTCAGCCCAAAATTAAAATTTGCTGAATGTATACTCAACCTCAGGCCATCCAAGATATAAATTGGTTTGTTTCCTCATCTGAACAGATTTAGGGAAATTTAGCATTACATCACTTATCCACTGGTGGATCCTCTGCAGTGAATGGGTGCCGTCAGAATGAGTCCAAACAGCTGATAAAAACATCACAATAATCAACAAGTAATGTACATGACTCCAGTCCATCAATGAATTTCTTAAGTGAAAAGCTGCGTGTCTGTAAGAAACAAATCAATTATTAAGGCGTTCTGACTTTAAACTATCACTTCTGGCCATAACCTATAATAACGATTCCTCTAGTGAAAAAGCACATCCCCTGTTGTCCCGTCATCAAAATACACTGGCATATTTGTTTTAAACTGTTTTGGACTGTTTTCACTTGTAAACGGTGTTTGATCTGGCATATTTCTCTCCTGATTCATGTGAGACCAATATTTCATTGGAGAAAACAATATTATGGATAGAAGACATATATTTTAGTCGTAAGCATCAATTTGAAATTAAAAACGTCTTAACGTTTTAACTTCACAAGACATTAATTGATGGACAGCTGTTTGGACTCTCATTCTGACGGCACCCTGCAGAGCAAGTGATGTAATGCTAAATTTCTCCAAATATGTTCCCATTAATCTTGGAATCTTGAATGGCCTGAGGATGACTACATTTTCAGAAAATTTCACAATTTGGTAAACTATTCCTTTAAACAAGGTTTCAAACTCTTTTCATGTCCCCTTGTGTTTCAGGTGCATCCTGTTGCTATTTGTTCTCTTCTTCATTCCTGGAGTGGTGATGATCATCGCTTATGGGCTCATTTCTCGAGAACTCTTCCGTGGAATACAGTTTGAAATGGAGCAGAAGAAGGGACAGAGTGGTGAGACATTTATGAAGTCAATAACACATTACAGTCTAATTTAGTGTCATGTTTTAGCAAGCCCCAGACTGTCCCATAGGGCACTAACTGTGCTAGTCACTGTGATTGTTTTAGATGACCTACCCTGAGGATTTATTTGTTTGTGTGTACAGTCATGTCCATCTGTTTGTGAATGAGGCTCAATTTCCTAAGTAATGAAATGTGACCTATTGAATTTTCGAAATATAATTGCAGCTGTGCAACATTTCCGCAACCACCCATAAAAAAGCAATAAGAAAAAAAAAGCAGGAAATATAAACTTGAATATTACCCTTAAATTGCTCATTGTTGTAGCTCTTACAAGTTAATATCTGCTGGATTGCTTAGATTATGTCCCCTCCTGAATTCCGCTGTTCAACGCTAAATCACATTCTATTAATGTTATAAGTATGCCCCCATTTCCCCTGTGCTGCAGTAATTGCATTCAAACACTCCAGCGCTGAGTCACCACTCTACCCATAAATGCTTTCATTTGAATTAGTGAAATGTCATTTCCTTTCCCATTTTATAAGTAACAATTTGTGCAAAAAAAAACAAAAAAACTCAAGAATGTCAAAATACAACCTGCTGTGGGGTCTTATGAAGGTTATTGTTTAGTGAAAGACACAGGGGTTGGGAATCATAAATAATGTAATGATTCTGATTCCACTTTATGATTCCAGTTCCTTACTGGTTCATTTCATTAATAGAATCATTAAAGAATTAGTCTAAATTAGTCCTATATATTACAGAAGAATACCCCCCTTTTCATAGAGTATTACTCAAAAAATGTCTAAACTCTTATCCAAATGTTTAACTACTATTTAGATCAGTATGTTTATTTAAGTCTCATGAGCCTTAATTATACACACTACAAAAATAATTCTTGAATTATTTCCACTAGGATATGATGGAAGTAATGATTCAGCCAAGAACTGTTCTGAATGATTCAGTAATTGAATGAGTCATTAAAGAAATTCAGACTCATAACTGAGTTTTAGTTGTGAGTCGTTTTGACTAATTTATTAAAATGAATCTGATTGTAAGAGTCATTTGATTGTGACTGATTTGATTCATTATTTCAGAGCTTGAAAATCTGTATTCTTTTTTTCTTTCCTTTTTTTATCAAAAAATTTGTACCATTATCCCTTTGGTATTCGTCACTTAATGGTCAAGTGTGATACTCCGCTATAAAATTATTATTATTATTATTAATGTATTTTGTTTCAATGATATGTATTCTTTAATATTTCATAGTTTAAGGAGATTTCATGGTACTATGCAAAATTAACCTCTAAATTATGGACTATTTATTTCTACATAAAATAATACACATACAAGAAAAAAAAAATCATATTATTTCAATTAATTTAGTGTTTAAATAAAAACAGAGCAAAGGATGTAGATTTTACCCCTCCCCAAAAATTGCTCTGTATTTTCGTATTTTACCGTTCATTTCCTATGGCGGCCATTTTTTGACCAGAAGGATCACAAGTGTTTAAGACCATTTAGCCTTTTCTAATCATGTCGGCAATTTTGTGTTCATATAGCAAGTACCACAGAACTCACCAAGTTTCATACCATTCTAATGAAGTAAAAAATTATAAATGTTAAAATTTTAGGTCTAACATCACCAGAAGTGTTAATTTAGCCAAACTGCCTAAAATACTGACTCAATTATTCTATGCAGGAAATGCAAATGTGGTTCAAAATGAAAGCTTCCCCTTGATCTGTATTTATCTAAATAATCCCTCAGAGCTTTTTCTTGAGGAATGTGCAATGTTTCCTCTTTAGGAATGAAAAATGGTATCAGCGCCACTGTCTTATATAGCAGTGATGATGGAGATGGCTGCTACATCCAAGTGTCCAAGAGGCCCAACTCAATGGAGATGTCAGCCATCACCCCAACGAGCTCCGCAAAGGTGGACCGACCTCGCATCAACACGTCCGAGGCTAAACTAATGGCCAAGAAGCGAGTGATCCGTATGCTCATTGTCATTGTGGCTATGTTCTTCATTTGCTGGATGCCCCTGTACTCCGTCAACACCTGGAAAGCGTTTGACCTTCCCTCGGCCCACAGGGCTCTTTCTGGAGCCCCCATCTCATTCATCCACCTGCTGTCCTACACATCCGCCTGCGTCAACCCAATCATCTACTGCTTTATGAACAAGCGCTTTCGAAAGGTGCTTCTCACCACCTTCTCCTGCTGCTGCTGGCCCTGCCACAGAAAAGGCTTCAGGGAAGGTGACGATGAGGTTACTGCCACCGGAGCGTCCATGTCTAAGTTCAACTACAGCACTGTCAGCACAATGGGACCATGCTGATTCTCAGAGGACACAGGCTGGGCAAGATGGAGAAGAATTGGGGTTGATGTTGACATATTGTGAGGGTTTACTTTGGTAGAAGACTTAGATTGTTTATCACCTACTTGCAAACCACATGCTACATCAACATCAGTCATTGTTTTATGATCCATGATTGATCATGATTGATCATGTTGTTACACATATACTCTAGAGACTTGGTAGGAAAGGCCACACCAACCTCACCCTCTCCTGTCAAAGGTCTGTCACTCACACTCATTAAGAACCAAAAAAGAGACCAAACGACTGCCTGCGACATTTCTTTCTGACTGAATTGGGATATCATTTTGGTGTAGAAGAACCATAAAAAAAATTTGTTTTTACCATGAATAACAATCTGCGTTTGAGGGAAAGTTTGTGGAGTAGAGTTTGCTGCGGAAAAGTTTGGATCAGATGCGAGCAGGACAATGGCTCTTCAGGAGGAGAAGAAACTCATTGGACGCCTTTATTGACTGAGTGATAATGTTGAACTTGCTAGATGTTGTCAGAGTCAGCAAGACCATCAACTCAGCAGGAAGCAGAGTTTCTGGAGCTGTTAGTGTTCACTGAGAAACGGCTGCATTAACCGACTTGCTCAAACGACTATGTAAATGACTGAAAATGGCTAGTAGAATTCCAGCCTTACACTTAATGTTGTTATCCTTTTGTTGTAGTTTTAAGTGCTTGCATAGTGTTTTTAAAATCTTTTCTGAGGTCAGTGTTCATCAGGAGAGATTTCATTCATAAGATCAGAACTCTAAAACACTGGCATATAGCAGCTTTCCAAAGTCTGAGCCAACAGACTTATACTAAAAGTCACAATATTCTACAGTATTACAATGTGATTAATGATGATGGTCTGTTGCTAGACAGGACAATGTTTTTGGCAGTTGGCTTCATCTTCATTTTTTGGGCTGAAGAGATTTTGTTTTGTTTTTGAAGTTGTCCTTCATGGCCTTCACAGTATGTGGCTGTAGGTGACTTCAACTGAATGAAAAGCTTGCCTTAAACCTTAATTGAGATAAACTCATTCCAATCTGTCATAATCTCACAGATTGATTTATGACTGCTTTCAAATGTCCTCATAAATTTGTAGCTATAAGCGTATTAAGGTCCTCCCAAACAGTCCCCATCAAACAAACAGCAAAGAACACTTAAACCTGATTTGTGATTGTTCTGTCCTTCTTTTAGAAGAGAAAATGTTTTTTGAGGCAGGTTAGAGAGAGAGGCTTGATTAAATGTCCGATATTTTTGAGTGTCGTGGTGGGGACCCATGGGAAGTCAGACATGATTCAGTGACTGTTGAATATTTCAAGCCACTAAAATTGATAACGTCAATTTAATGGCTGACTTTTAGTAAAATTAAATGACAAATTTAAGTGAAAAAAAATGTAAGTGCTGCCAAAGTGACAACCTGCAGTGATGAGTTCATTGCACTTTTTCAGCCACTTTGATTTTAATTACTAATGAAAAAATCAAGCTGAAAATCCAAAAACTCATAAAAGTAATCAGGAAGTTATGACACTTTGAATGGATGTATACAAAGATTATTTTTGTCATAATTATGGAAATATCTTTACAGTGTAGTTCCTCTACATTTAATTTTTCTAATAGCTAACGTGAAAGAAAGAAAAAAAAACCTCCAATAATTAGCATGAACTCATTACTCATCAAATAACTCATTTAAGATTCAAATTCAAACATTACAATTCCTAATTTCTCAAATGGTCACAAATGACTATCCCATGGGGTATTGTTTGTAAACCTTTGAAACAGAAATAAGTTAGAATAACTAATCACGATTCATGTCATGATGTTTTTCAGTTCCTTTGTAAAGAAAGAAAACTAAATAATGGGCAAAAAATAATTCTTACATAAATGATTAATTTGAACCGCATACATGTCAGTTAAAAGACTTGTTTTATGATCCTTGATGACTACGAATACTTGTTTTCACCAAAATTCACAATTCAGGTTTGGGGTTGATGAAGGGATGCTTGAGCTTTACAGATTGGGCTTTGGGATACATAAGACAAAAAATGGATGGGAAACACTCGTTTAAAACATGGTATTGAGTCACCTTTGTCTTTGTACTTTACATTGCTCATGCTCAATTCAACCATCATGTGCAAAATGATTCCTTACGTCAATTAGTGCAGTTGAGCATAAATTCCACCAAAGAGCAAAACTTTGTTTGCTATGTATAAAAAAAAAAAAAAATTTTTTTTTTAAATGCCGACATACTAGCAATCTTTTTTATTATTACAAAGTGCAACATTTTTTATTTTTATTTTTATTTTTTGCAGTTGAGCATGACCATAACCAAGCAGCAACCAGCATAAATGCTCCCCAAAATATCCATATTACTTTCCTTCCTATTTAATTTGCCACCTACTGATGAGAGATGAGAGCTCCAATAGTCTGTCCCTTTCTTTCCTGATTTCTGTGTTCCACTGTTTTTCACTGGCTAAACATGGCTTTCTAATCAATGTGCATCTGTCCCTGAACTTACTTTTCAGTGAACATTAACACTTAAATAAATACGGCTGAACAGACAGAAACAACATCTGCTAGGTAAATCCAGTAAAACAATAAGTGTTTAGAGATCTCCTATGACTGTGGAAAATTAATTTCATAAATGAGCTGTTTTTCTATAATTATTCGGACATCATAGTGCCTGCCTCTGTCTGGAGGCATTTCACTGTTGTTAATGCTCTGAGTTTGGGTGCTATAGCTGAAGATGTAAGAGCTGTAAAACATTGATTTCCCTGAGGTGTGTTTGAGAAGTCTGCGAGAGGGCCAAACACATTGTGTTGTTGTGGCCCACAGCTCTCTTCTGATTAATAGGATATAATCTGAAACTTAAACTAACCACATGCTTCATGGTTTTTAACCAACAGTCAACTCAAGTGTTCTCTCAGCTCTCGTCGGCTGTGCTGTATAGTCTATCCTCGAAACGCTTCTCCTTGTCACAGACAAAGTTTGTAGACAGCATGATGAAAATAAAAAGTTTATCAGCCTCATCAGTCAAGATGACAAAAAACACTAAGGCAGCCAACTTCACACAGACAGAAGACAGATTTTTGGCGTATTTGTCTAAAATCGGTTTAGTCAGAAGAGCTTTTGTAGTCAGAAAATACACATGGCATCTGATTTTTACAAACCCCATCCAAACCACATCCATATGTGGTTTTAAAATGTGATTTTTTTGGAATGCATTTCAGTCTGATTGGATTTCAAGTCATTTTTCTGCACTCTAAAAATGCTGGGTCAAAAACAACCCAATTTGGTTAAGCACTGGGTCAAAAATGGACAAACCTAGCACTAGGTTGTTCTGACCCAACTGGGTTGGGTTAAATGTTTGAACCAACATGTTAGGCTTTATTTAACTCAATTATTGTTTAAAAATGCCTAAACTGCTGGGTTCAGATGAACCCAATATGGATTGGAAATTAAAATCACACACATAATGACTACAGTAAAAATACCAGCAACAGTAATAATAAAAAGGTGAAGATTTATTAAGCAAAAACACCCAGGAATTGAAAAAAATATAGGCAATATAAATCATATAAAATCAAACACAAATCCGTAAATGTGTATGAGAAAAAGTGCAGAAAAGAATGGCAACCCAATAATTATACAGCTTATCAAGTTAAATAAGAGTGCTTTTGAAAAGTTTAATTTTAAATATAAAAAAAAAATTGACCAGTTATTTTGTTCACATTTTCTCCCACCAACGAATACACTACTAACACTACAGTCAAATCATCAGGCTGAGTGCCGCCAAGAAAAACAGACTGAAAGCCTTTAATAAACACTGAAAGTCGGGAATAAACTATGTATTATAGTGAATCGACAGGATTGTACCCTCTCCGTTTACAGTGTTTTTAATCACTCCTCTCAAGTGCCATTCTGTGTTGTTCAACCTAGCATCTTTATCCAACCATCTCAACTTAGCCTTTAGGTTGAAAAAGTAAAAAACTGCAGTGTTGTCTCAAGCTTTGTATGAAGATTTTCTCTCATTATGTGCATACGCATGTATGTATAAAATGCCACTCATGTTCTCTCATGTGCTTCAGGAGTTCAGTACGAGAGGAAGATATTATAATGGACATGAGCTGATGGAGTTTTTATTTATTTTTTTATCAGTTTTCTGGACTCTTACATCTTTCCTAAAGCAACTAGTTTAGATACACCGGATATGAACTAAACTATCTGTACAAACGGATCAAACTGCATCACTGACACAATGACATTCGGTCTGAAAGATTGGATTTGAAAACACAAGTCAAGCCTAAAGGTCCTTTTAAACCTTTTTTTTTAGATGTATTAAAACATTCATCTCTTTTGCAGGCAGCTTATCACAGCCTTGTAACCAGGCTTAAGCAGTATCTGTTACTAAGGCAGTGGACAGATTTTACTCAGAAAGCATTATGATCTATTACTGGCTCATGCAAGCTGAAGACAGATTGTGCTTTCTAAAACAAATAGCAAACCTATGCTCATCACATCAAAGATTTTCAGATTTAATTAAAGTGATGTTCTCCAAAGAGTGAATCACCAATCACCAAGAAGTGTAAATAAATACAGAAGGTACCATTTATATAAAAACAACAATACAAATAATATTATCTTAATTTAATCTTTTGTAATCTGTTTAGTGGACTCGTATTTTCTTTGTGATTGATTGTTAAATAATTTGTACAGAGCAATTTGTACAACACAGCTGGTGGAGAGATCCATCATTGAAAAAGATTTCATAATGACAAATCTGATCTACCTTTGTGCTAGTTTCTGTCTCAGGAAATTTATTTTTATTTAAAACGAAAAAAAAAAAATCTATACCTGTACATGTGCATTGCAAATATATCCTAAGGCCATTTTAATAACTGAGCATGAGACAGAACATAAGAGTTAAAATGAAGTAATTCATAAATATTTTAAAGATACATTTACGTAAATATGCTACATATAAAAAT